GGCAAAACTCCCTAGAGAAAACAATAATATTAGGGAAAATTAAAGACAGAAAAGGAAAAGAAAGGTCAAATATGAGATAGACTCACTCCTTAAAGGAAGCCTTGAATTTGCAAGGGCTGAACAAGGCTGTTGTGCCTAGGACATGTTGGAGGGCTTTAATTCATAGGGTTACCATAGACTGGAGATGCTTGATAGCACATAACAGGATGCCATCCATCCGAAATGGCACATCATTCACCTGTGAGTTTATTTAAACAGAAACTGCCAGTTCTACAAGAGTAAGTTGACATATTCTATACATTTAGAATACATTCTCTTAGCACCTGCCCCTATGCATATTTTTTCAGAAGTAAATGAGTCCAACTGGGCTTCATTCCAGGTAACTGTGTGTAGGATTGCAGCCATGATCTTTTAGCTTTTAAGATCTGATCACAAAAGGCATCACAGAAGCAAATATGACTGTAAGCTACAGGGATCGTTCACTGCATTAGGCAATTTCTCTGCCTCACCATCAATTTGACCTACCTACTGCTTTGGGGAAGCTTTGCCATCTAGTGGCAGCAATGCATAAAAATTAATTGAAGGATACAGATTTAAGCTGTTACTTGATCTTGTGATTCCACCTCTTTACCAATCAATTTCTTCTATTAGTTTAATAAGCTCCTTTGTGTGATGCAGCAACAATATGTACCAGAAACTCTCCATCAAGCTATATCCATCCTCAGCAGTAAGGACTTTAGATGTCATTCTTAATTTCTTTATATATCCACCACAACCACTGGTGGATAACCCTATGTACCCCAGACAGCACCTGGATGGACATGAAATTTGAGGAGACCTAGCAACAGGTCAGAAACCATTCCAACCTTGCAGCTTGATCTCTGTCCTCAGGGTGCTCCCCCCCCCCCCCCACCACAGAGCTGGGGTGGAAAGAACAGCACTGGCTGTGTCTCTGAGGCTGCCTTTGAGATGGGGTTTGGGAGGCATTCGGAGAGGCAGGGAGGAAAGGGAATCACCACTGCAAGAGAAGAGGTACCTGGGAGTGCCTCAGCCACCTTCCCTCCTGTTCCCAGGCACTCTAGCTGCTATTGTTTTGGTTGTGGTTATGTGCTGACAAGTCACCTCCAACTAGGCAAGCCTCCAAAAGGCCTATCCATGCCATCTCTGCTCAGCTATAAGAAATGCAAGGCGGTGGCTTCCTTCATGCAGTCAGTCCATCTCTTCTTTGGTCTTCCTTTTCTCCTCCTGCCTTCAGCTTTCCCTAGCACGATCGTCTTCCACAGTGAGTCTTGCCTTCTCTAGATGTCATTTTGGCTTCTAGGGAAACTTCTGGCTTGATCTGATCTAGGACCCACCTGTTCATCTTTCTGTTGACCCAGGGTATTTGCACAACTCTTCTCTAGCACCATGTTTCAAATGCATCCATTTTCTTTCTGTCTACTTTCTTCACCCTCCAGCTTTCACACCCATACATTATGATAGGGAATACAATGGTGTGAATGAGCTTGTCTTTGGTCTAAGTCTAGATAGAAAGCCAAAATCAGGTGTCTGGCTGAGTTGCAACCCAGAAGGAGTATCCTGGTGACTTTTGCCTCCATGTACCTCCTACCCTCCATAGGATGCTGGTAATTCTCTGAATTTGGAGAGTTATGGACCTCAGAACTGGACTGAGCCCTTTCTGGATTAAAAAAGAAGTAGAAAACTGAAGGGAAGACAGACAGACAGACAGACAGAAGTGTAGAGGTTATCAGCAATGATTGCTTTTAGCTAGCAATGTGAGAAAACCCTGAAGGAACTAGTATTATTTCTTTTAGAGAAAAGAAGATACTGAAAACAAATCTCATCAGTTATTTTGAAAGAGTGTTGAATAATTGTGAGAAAATGTTGCGTATTCACGGTAGATTTTTACATATAAACAATGAATTCAAATCATGAGCTGCACATGCAAATTGATTGCTGCAGTGTGAGAAAAGCTCAGAGGGTGGAAACAGAAACAGAGTGAGTCAGAAGGGTCTTCCAGGCCATCTAGTCTAACTCCTGGCTCTAGCCTGCTCTGCTCATTACATGCCTACCATGTGCATGTCTAAAAGGTAAGCCGCCTGAACAGGGACTTGAACCCTGGACCCTCAGATTAAAAGTCTGCTGTACTGACTGAGCTATCCATAAAACAAGGAGAACTTTTATGAAGAACAAGGCTCCATAAAACAAGGAGAACTTTCTCTGTGGTGGCCTCCCCATGTAAAGAATGACCTTCCCACTTTATTATTATTATTATTATTATTATTATTATTATTATTATTATTATTATAACATTTCTATGCCGCCCCTTGCCGAAGCCTCGGGGCGGCTTACAACACAATAACATACAATACAATACAAAAATAACAATATAAAATTAAAATTAATAATATAAAATAAATAATATATATATATATAAACGATATAAAAGAAGTTATAAAAGAAAAGTTATAAAAGAAAAGAAAAGAAAAGAAGTCACTTGGCACCAACCTTATTATTATTTATTATTATTATAACATTTCTATGCCACCCCTTGCCGAAACCTCGGGGCGGCTTACAACACAATAAAATACATTGAAATACAATAGAACATAATAAATTACCATTAAATACAAAAATACAAAAAATACACTGAGTTACAAATATAAAATTAAAATTATCAGTATAAAATAAGTAAATAAAAATATAGGAGGAGAAAAGAGAAGGAAGAAGAAGTTGCCCTGGCCAGATCATATGTTTTAACAATTAAAATGATGTTTAAATAAAAAGGTCTTTACCTGGCGCCGAAAAACCAGTAACGACGGTGCCAGGCGGACCTCTTTGGGGAGTGAATTCCATAGGTTGGGCGCCACCACAGAGAAAGCCCTCCTCCGAGTACTTACTCTCCTAATTTCTTTCATGGAGGGTTCCCGGAGAAGGGACTCTCCCACAGATCTCAAAGGGCGGTCGGGCATATGCGGACGTAAGCGCTCATTCAGGTAGCCAGGACCCAAGCCGTTTAGGGCTTTATAGGTCATAATCAACACCTTGAATTGGGCCCGGACTTCAATGGGAAGCCAGTGAAGCTGACGGAGGACTGGAGTCATGTGAGCATAATGCCCCGTCCCCGTCAGCAACCTGGCAGCTCTATTTTGCACCAATTGAAGTGTTTGGACTGTCTTCAGGGGAAGCCCCACGTAAAGTGCGTTACAGAAGTCTAGGCGGGAAGTCACCAGCGCGTGTGTCACCGTCGCCAGGCAGTCGTACTCCAGGTAGGGGCGCAGCTGATTAATCAGCCGAAGCTGAAAGAAGGCATTCCTCGCCACCGCTGTCACCTGAGCTTCCAAAGAAAGCTCCGGGTCGAGGAGTACTCCTAAGCTGTGGACCTTATCCCTAAGAGGGAGTGTTGCACCATTCAGGACCAGGTCAAATCCACCCTCTCCGAAACCCGATCCGCCAACCAACAGGACCTCTGTCTTGTCTGGGTTGAGTTTCAGTTTATTGGCCCTCATCCATTCCCTTACCTCGGCCAAGCACCGGTTCAGCACAGCCACTGCCTCACCTGGATTAGTGGAAAACGAGAGGTAGAGCTGGGTATCATCAGCGTATTGATGATTCCGCAGCCCACACCTCCTGATGACCTCTCCCAGCGGTTTCTTTTCAGTGCCAGATTTATAAGTGCCATATAACCCCAGTTCTCCGTCAGCTCCACTGGCTCCCGATTGAAGTCTGGGCCCAATTCAAGGTGTTATGACCTATAAAGCCCTAAACGGCTTGGGTCCTGGTTACCTGAAGGAGCACTTACATCCATATATGCCCGGCCGCCCCTTGAGATCTGCGGGAGAGGCCCTTCTCCAGGAACCCTCCGTGAAAGAAATTAGGAGGGTAGGTACTCGGAGGAGGGCTTTCTCTGCGGTGGCGCCCAATCTATGGAATGTGCTCCCCAGAGAGGTCTGCCTGGCGCCGTCGTTATTTGTTTTTCGGCCCCAGGCTAAGACCTTTTTATTTAAAACTTATTTTAATTGTTAATTTAACTAGGTTTTTTAAAAAAAAATTTAGCCAAGAATGCACTGAGGTTTTATTGCACTGGGGTTTTATTGTATTGGGGTTTTATTGTATTGTTTATTTATTGATGTTTTGTGAGCCGCCCCGAGGCTTTATTGCGATGGGGCAGCATAGAAATGTTTTAAATAATAATAAATTAAATAAAATTTAAGGTGACTCATTATGCCAAGGCTTTTCAAGACGTACTGTACATGAATGTCCAGGGGCTTGAGAGGGTATTTTTCTTCTACAAGGTTATTCTTCGCCATGTTTTAGCTTTTTAAATAGCTTATAGTTTAAACAAAATTTAAAAAAACAAAATTTTATTCTATTGTTTCTATGTACCACTGCAAACTACCCAGACAGCTTCAGGTACTGGGTGGTATAGGAAGGAAATACATTTGTTTGTTTTTACCAGGATGAAATCAGAAGACTTCTGGAAGCACCACTCTTCAGAGCACTTTACCCCAAGGCTAAGCTTTGCAATACATACTCATCATCCTGGGTATACATGACTGCAGAAGCCCACACCTTTGTTGGGGATACAAAGCTGTTCAGATCCTTGTTTCGTCAAACTTTCGTTTCATAAGGAAATCTACCGGAGCCGACTTGAGCGCGACCCTATTTTGGCGAGGCGCGGAACCATCGCCCTGTCCGAGTCAAACAAGCCAGCCATGCAGAGCGTAAGACGGCAAGATAGCAGCGGCAGCCAACCCACACCCGGGCAAGTCGATCGCTTGTCCGAAGCCTGCAAAAGGCTCTTTCCTGCATGAGGCCGTTCCCACGTTCCCAGGCGCGAAGGGAGCAAACGCGGAGCGGATTTCGCCTCGCCCAGCGGAGCAGCGGCAGCAGCGCAGCCAGCGAGAGCCGCCGCCGCCGCCTCTTTTCCTCCCGCTGACGAGATCCGAGCGCGCCTGGGCGGAGGAGGAGCCATCTTCTGCTTTGCCTCCGGAGGAAGTAGCGCCTGCCGGGAGAAGAGGCAGCGCCGAGCGATAGCGGAGGGAAAGGGGGCGCGGGCGGCGGGGTGTGGATCCTCTGCATGGACTTGCGCGCTGAGCGGGGGCGAGCGAGGCTTTCTCTGGCGGAGAGGCGGCGGCGAAGATGGGCTCTGCGGACGTGCTCAGGGAAACCACGAGGCTGGCCTCCTCCAGCGCCCTTTTGCAGGTATCCGCCAGCGGAAGGTGGAAATGAATGGAGGCGACGGCGCGCTGCGTTGCAGCCTCCTCGCCCTTTTCTCTGGAGCGGCAGCCGGTGGTCCTCCTGCGTGATCCAGAAGGATGGTGGGGAGGACGAGCCGCCGTACCGCTTTCGCTTGCTCCGAGGAGCGCAAGAGTGCACTGCTTAGACAGCAAGGAAAAAAACAACACTCCCATCCCGCCCCACCTAAAGAATGCTGGGAGTGGTAGGACTCCCCTCCCCCCATACATTATAAACATGCATAGAATGATGTCCTGAATGCATTTACATCATAGTAAAAGAAAATGAGGCTTCCCTGCAAAATAAGAGCTTGCGTGACAGATGCAGCGTTTGCAGACACGGAGAGCTTTTCTGCACGAAGCTGTTAATCCGCTGCATCTGCGTTTCTTTTGTGGCAGAATTGAGGTCTGAGCTCTACACAGGGATGGGTTCTCTCCTGCTTTTCTGCTACATACCGTTCTTTACAAGGTATTTATAGGGATCTCATGGTTTCCTAACTCATGGATGTTTATAGGGTCTTTAGGCCACAGCACGACCGTCCAGTTCTGCTTCTGTTTGAAACAACTTTCAAGGAGATTTGCTTTATTTTATTTAAGAGAAGAGGATAATGTGGCATTCTTTTTAAAAGGGGAAAAATGCTTTCCTCCACTGGTGTATTTGTGCTGTTCTGCTGTACCATAGTGGCACCTAGAGGTTATTTATTAGACAATTAGGAAAGGCATGCTTCACTCTCATCTCTATATTGCAATCAAAAGCAGATACAGTGCATTAACAACCTTGTGTGGAAAAGCTCTTAAGTGCTAGAAGAAGAAACAACATGGGCAAGTGGGAAAAATGTTTTTTTTAAGCTTTGTTCAAAGTGCTTTTTAAAAATAGAAGTGAAACTGTTGTCTAAAATAGTGGTTTTCAACCCTTTTACAGCTGTGGACTGGCAAAAGTAGGAAAATTATTTTGGGAACCACTGAGGCAGAAATTAAAAGCATTATATACATAATATAGTAATTTGTGAATTAGTTTTTAATTGTAATACCAAAAAATAAAAATTCTCTAAAATAACCAGAAACTGAACCGTAAAAATGCTAATAAAAGAATAAAATATTGAAATATGAAATTCAAATAAGGCTACTGCAAAATCTGCTGTTACTTTTCAAGAGTACTTGATCAAAATTTTACAATGGCAAATTACAAAATCAGGATAAATGTAGTGCTATGTTCATAGCGAATGCAAATTCAAATACAATATTAACAGCTGAGGAGTACAAAATCAAACCATATTACTTAATGCAATAATATTCATAATGTTAAATAATGAAATACAGTCCCCCCCCCAAACCTCCATGCACATCAGCACAGACTGGCTGAGAAAACACTCTCAGCACAATCCTGCCTCAGGATGTCCCTTCCCAGCAGAAAAGACAGCAGGAAAAGGAAAAGGCCTGGTCTTCGGGCCCCACGCAGAGGGCAGACCTGTTGTGGTGTGGCTTCCAGCTGGCTCCTGTTGAGCTGTCCCTCCCCTCCCAGGCCTCCTTGGCTGAGGAAGAAGTGGGAATTGGGGAATTGGCACCAAGAGCACAGCTAGCCACATGCTGGTCCTGGCGAGCAAGACAGCACTGTCCTGTGCGCACATGACAGCAGCTCTTTCATGGACTGGCAGGAAATGCCAGTGGATCGGTGCTGGTCCACCGACCTGTTCCCTGAAAACCACTGATCTAAAGAATCTATTGGGCACCTGTCAAGACTGTTGAGTAGGGAATGAGAGGTGCCCAATACCTGCCTTGTGTAGAACAGCTCTGAGACCGCCCTGTTGTTCCTCCATATCTCCAGCTCCAAGCAGGGAGATAGAAAATAAATACACTCTTTCATCCATTGCTAAATGGGGATGTTTTAAAACACATGCCTCTACTTCAAAAGATGTATGGGTGGAAGCAGAGTGCTGTGTCAGTTTGGTGCCCACATATACACACCTTCCTTGTGTATTGCAGTTAAATGAACACTGCATGAATAAACTTGTCTGAAACTACCCCGAAGGCACATTGCACATCCACTCAGAAAGAAATTCTGAGCAGAAAAGAGCATGCTGGGTGTAATGCTGCAGAGTGGATTGACTTAAACCAAGGCGGTGGATTAACCAAGACATGATCTAAAGTGGCTACCTATAACTCTCACCTTGGAGGATTCAAGGCATGGATTTAAGAGCAGGAGGAGCACAGAGGTCAGGATTGCCGGCTTCAGCCATCTGTCATGAGGAGGAGAGGTCTCCAGGATGCACTGTATCCTAATGGGCCTCACTTGGCCCTTCCCTGCTCCCCAGAATGCCACCTCCCCTTTGCCAGCTGGGAAGTGCCACTTGGGAGCCATGGCTGGTGGGGAAAGAGCTGTGTCAGCTACAAGCTTGGAGACAAGGCTGGCTGTTGTCCGAGTCCCAGCTCCAGCCTTGCAATGCATTTCTGAGGTTGGAGCTGGGACCTTGCCTCTCCTAGGGCTGTTAGACCGCATCTAGCAGCCACAGAATTGCACTCTAACTGATCCCAATTAAGCTTTGCATTGATATGGTTTCGTGTATTACCTAAGCTGGAAGTGCGAGCACTGAACCATGTTAATCTTCAACAAGAATATTATTAGAATAATTCTCAATAAGCATGTTTATTTATAACTAGAATACCGTATATGCCAGCATATAAGGTGACCCTGGAAACCGAAATTGCCAAAGCAAAAATGGGCGGGGGGGTGGTCTTATAGGCCAGGTGGAAAGTTTTTTCCCCTTACTGTAGTTTGTCTTCCAGGTCATGAGCCTTGCATGCAGCTGCACCCGCAGTCCTGAGTCTGGCACTTGCTGTGGGGAGGGGAAGTGCACCTTTCTACCTCACTGCTTGTCTAGAAAACAAAGTTAATGAACCTGAAATGTCATCACTGACATTAGAAGTAAAGTTTGATACTTGCTCTGTAGTTTAGAGCACTTTATTTACATCAGGTGACATTGAAATGCATAACTCTGCTAGGTAGCGCTCCATTCCAGGCTGGCTGCAGTGGCAGCTGGGAAGGGGAGCATTCCCCGCATGGCTGTCTGCGGAGTAGTAGGCAGTAGTCTGCAAAACTCCAAAAAATTACCATTTAATCATTGATGGCAAACTCACGAATAATAATCTGTGAAAGTTAAACCCACAATAGTTGAAGTTTGACTGTATAATATTTACAGTGCCTTCTAGGCATTCAGTGCATCCCAATCATATTTTATTAAGCTGAACAGTGACCAGGAAAGGTAGGCCTGTGGAATTATTGTCCTACTATTGATTTGGTTCTGAGGAGATAATAGTGACTTTCTATCCGTCAGATCCAAGTTTACCATGAAGTGTAAGTCTCACGTTGTTCAATAGCACTTACACATAAATGGGCATAGGATCTTTGCTGGCTGGGAAATACTTGGGGTTGTAGGACTGTTTTCTGTCTAAACATACATAGGGTTGCACTCTAAATCATCAGAACATAACAAAATTGCGCTTACCATGAATGTCTTTAGTTGACCTATTTGGATTCCATAGACCATGGGTCCTCAAACTACAGCCCAGGAGCCGGATCCAGCCCACCATGCCCATTTGGACCATTGGGCATGCGCGCCCTCCGCCGCCCACCTCGCCAGCGGTCTGCTCGCTTGGAGAAAATGATCTCCAAGCGAGCGAGCCGCTGTCTCGTGCGCCCGCCTCGCAGCCCATGCCCGTGCCTGCCCCCGCCTCCACCTCAGTGCGCGCGCGCCCACATGCACCACCCCTGCCCCCTCGCCGGCCCACGCGCATGACCAGGCACCACCTTTCCAGCCTGCGCCCAGCACCAACAGCTTTCAGCTGGCCCCCTGGTCAAAAAGTTTGAGGACCCCTGCCATAGACTGTCCTACCACCTCCCTGACAGGGCCCAGTTGTTGTTACTATCTAGTTGTGTGGATCAGGTTTATCTCAGGAGAACCAAAACAAGGTGGACGGTTTTGCCACCCATGATTTTAACATTCTGTCTAAACATTCATAGGATTGCACCCTTGGTAACTTTGTGGCAGGGATGAGATATGTATTCAGCTTTTTTGTAGCATCCAGTTCACATTATTAGTGAATAACTGCATAATGCTATATGCATCTATTTAGGATTATGTCCCATTAAGTTCTGGAAAGTGGTGATAGGTTTAGAGTCTCTTACCTGTGATGTGACTTTGCTTACAGTTTGAAAATAGGTATTGATTTATTTTCTGGAACTCACTTTTTTACAGATACTGTTCCGGCTAATTACCTTTGGGTTAAATGCTTTTACTGTACGATATGTATCCAAGGAAATCATTGGCCTTGTAAATGTAAGGTAATAAGTGATAATCATTTCCTTTTAAAAATATGAATGATTAATGTTTATAAATTATGGTTGTTCTGTCTCAGTGTGCCTGCTCTGTTGTATTTCTTTGTATGCCTGGTCACTGAAAAAGTCTAATTACCTATTTGCATCTTGCTAGGATGATAAAAAGAAACATTTCAAATGTTTAGTTGAATAAATGCCTTCAGTGTTGTCTAAATGCAAATTTGAGTTTGTGATTCAGTTTCTTTGGACAAATGAATTTCTCCCCTGAATTATGTAAATATGTCACTATGGAGAATGTAGTAGTTGGTGATTTTAACAGGTATTCAGTGATTTTTAGTGAAATGCTAGTTCTAAAGAGCGCTGCTTTCTCATTATCTCAAAGTCTAGGGGTAAATGTTATTATGCATTAAAAATAGACTGTGCTTATTTGTATGCTAGGTTTTGTCAGGGTTCAAGCTTTTGCAAGGTTTCCCCTGCCTTTTCTGAACTCCCAGAAACCCTGAAATGTAGTGGGAGTTCCCAGATCTATAACACTGCACAGCTACCTTTTGTTATAACTGGATTCATTTCTTCTGTGGTGTGAATTATGGACACTTGCAATTTCTTTCTACCTATGGACACTCCAAAATAAATTGATCCTAAAAGAAACTGAACAGCCCACTGAAAGTCATTACAATAGACTAAAAAAGCTTTGAAATAAAGAACTGATTATTTATCTACACTATATTATTGTATAATTTGTGTACTTGATGTTTTTAATTCTTATTGTAAACTGGCAAGTTAACTTTTTGATATTAGGTAGCCTATTGATGAAAATAAGGCCGCAATCCTATACACCTATATCTAGACATAAGCTTCATTAAAATGAGTGGGGCTTTTTAAAATAGAAATGTATGTAGTAAGATTGTATTATAAGTAAATAACTATTTCTAGACTTCTAGACTATAAAATGGACTCATGAGTTACAGTTGCACATAACACTCAGCAGCACTCTGGATCCTGGATATGATCTCAGAATTATTTTATTAAGACTGTAGGCCTAAATGAATGAAACATGACACTTAAAAGAAATTGTCTTCCACTAAGAACTTGTTAGGTGCTGTCAACTCATCTCTGACTGTGTTGAATTTTTAAAAACTTCCATGGATTTTGCAACAACGGCATAATATTACAGTTGAAGCTTCCATAGCTGATCACATTCCTGATCCCCAACATTTATATGCTGACAGCAAATTTTGGGCATGAAGTTAATCAGTGTTTCCTTTTATGTATTTTTGGGAGCTGTTACACCATTGGCTCTTTGATAGGTGTGTTGAAATACTGTTTCCCCCCTTTTTAAAAAAATAGGCTGATGCTGCTTTACTCAACAGTTGTTTTCTTGGCCAGAGAGGCTTTTCGCAGAGCTTGTCTGAGTGGAAGCACGAGGAGAAATTGGACCAAAACATTTAATCTTTTGTGGCTAACGTAAGTTTATATGATGCTTTTGAAAAGTAAGTCCTTCCTACTGACTCTTCTCCCATTTGGCTCAGTGCAGAGGTAAAAAGGAAGTGCCACCATCCTAACTGGTTGTTCGGTTGCCACCTGTCCATTCAGACATCATGGCTGTCTTTGCCAAACTTCCAAAGCAGATGGAGAGGGTGTGGATGCTGCATTGCCTCTTCTACCCCCCTGTAGGCACCTTTGTCCCTGTTCTTCCACACACTGTATGATGCTCAAGAGTTGATCTACCACTGGCAGGAGAGTCCAAACCGGGAAGTATGTTGCTTGCATTGGTTCATACTGCCTTTAACGGGACGGGCACAATGACAGGTGGCGATCCTAGTCTCAGCACGTAGCACGCTTTATACAATTCCGTGAAGGAATTTCAAAGGCTTTAAACTATGCATTTAATCTCTACTTTTGAAACACTATAACTGCCTGTTCTTTCAAGTTGGGATTGAGTCAAAGGGCAGGCAGTTTAGTATATGGTTCAGTAAAGGTAGGATATGAAATTCTTAAATAATTTAGTAGCTATCTAAACAGCAATGACATACTTAAATGACATACTTAAGCTTATCTGCAGTGCTACATTTCTAGGGATTTAACTTAGTTTCATGTGAATCTAATACATAAATTAATTACAACATCTCTCTAAACCTCTGAAGAGCAGGCATGTAGCCCTCGAGTCAGTGGAAAGCAGTCCTAGGGTGAAGTGGGGAAAGGTTGTCAGGCTGAAATGTGTAGAGTTCTTGAGCAAGCAAGTATATGTGTAGGGGCTGGTGATGTGTTTCATGGGTTAGTGCACTTAAAAATGTCAACCAGACATGTATATGCATGTAGAAAAAATGAAGGAACATATCTTTAAATTCTTCTGGACTCCTAGTTCACAACCCTCTGCTCCATTTATTCATTAAGTCCATTTTTGAGGACTGCAGAGAAAAGGACAACGTGAAACTGCCTAAGGTTTTGTCTTTTCAACTCATAGAGTCCCCTTGAGTGTGTGTTGGTCTCTGTTCCTGGGCTGGGTATGGCTAGATATGCTTGAAATTCCTGATGAAAATGCTGTTCCTCACTACACCTTTGGAGTTGTTGCCTTTGGTCTTTCTGCTGTGGTTGAACTCCTAGGAGAACCTTTTTGGGTTTTAGCCCAAGTGCACTTATTTGTAAGGCTAAAGGTTAGTAAACTGTATGCAAAAATGTTGTTCTTTGTGTTTATAAATAATATAAAGGAAATAGTTATGGATTGTATGCATATGGATTTCTATGCACAAATGTTGTTCTTTGTGTTTATATATAGCATGAAGTAAATCAGATAGGGAGTGATACTATGATTCCTGGACATGGGGTGGGGGCACAGGATACTTTGGATTCGTTGACCTTGGAGTGGGAAGTGGGAGCCATTCCATGCTTCCATGCAGCTGGTGTAGAACAAAACAAACTGGCTGCTCTTGGAGGTCGGAAAGGTTGGAGAGAGGCCAAAAGGAGTGCTCCTCTATGGGGAGGGGAGGGGAGTTGAGAAAAGACAAATTGAATGGCAAGGATACAGAACAGAGCCATTCTAGTGCCCTTCCCTCTTTTTAAGAGATGTGGTCATTAGGTGGCATTTTCTGGTGGAAATGCAGAGAGGGAGGACTTGAGAAGTGAAGTCACTGCCACTCGTCCTGCTCTACACTGGGGGAGCCTGAGCTTTTGAATTCTGCTTATTTGTAGAACTCTTAAGAGACCCCACCCCTGTACAAAAAGGGAGCTATTTGTACTTTAAATTTGGGGATATTGATATTTAACAACAAAACAATTCTTAAATATCAGTATTCCCAAATAGTAGTAATAGAAATAATGATTTAGGGGCTAGTCAAAACTACTGCATTTATTAACATAAGCTCGGATCCAGAGTAAAGGTGCATTTCTAGCCCTGGCTGAGCAAGCCCTGGGAATGGCAGCAGTGCTGCTCCGTTTGCAGAATTAGATATCCAGGGCCTGACCCCTGCTGGCCAAGTCCTAGGTGGCACGGAGTGTGGCCTGGGTATGTCTTCAGTCTTGAGTGCATCAGTGCCCAGTCCTGTCTCCCATTCCCACATCGCACAGACAACACAGTAGGAATCTACGACAGGACACTCTTTGGTGCAAGTCATTTCCATTGATTCGAAGGAGATGGCAGGTGAAATCAGATTGCTCTCCCTTCATCCCACAACACTCTTCTTTCTGTTTTCAGCCTCCCCTTCCAAGCTGGTGATGGCTGAGATTCAGGAACAGAGCTTAGACCCAAAGGATTTCCAGGATTGGTTAGCCCATTAATTATCCTTTAGCACTGCTGAAATCAATGGGGCTTAAGTTAATTATCACTAACTTGTCCCATTTATTTCAGTGGAACTAAAGTATGACTAATTTAGTCTGGATCCAGTCTTTTGTTTTAAACACATAAATCAGAATATGTGAATACACATTGTTGAAATTTTCATTCTACAAACAGAAGTTTCCCTTTTCTGTAAGTGGTCCCAGATGCAGGAGCTGTTCAGGGCTACTTACAGGTAAATATTCTTAGAAAAATATTTGAGGGATTCCATCTGCAAATCACACAATTTTTGGATCTGAGACATGAGAACGGCCATTAGGAATATAGTGTGGATGCCTAACATTGTTTTTGTCTGTTTCTTTCAGGTTATTGCTGAAAGTCTTTCAATCATTTGCAAATGTTTTTTGACAGTTATTCTAGTGGTTCTGTATCCTCACTGGGGGCTTTACATATTTTCCTTGGCCCAGGTACAATTTCATATCTGTCATCTTATTGTTTGAACTGCCATAACAATTGTAGTCTAATCATGTAAAATTGTTTTGCCACTGCTGTCATGTTTTGCCCTTATCCACTATCAACTGAAGGGGTCAATTTCTTGTAATGTACACTGGTCTCTTTCTGTCTCAGTCCTAGCATTGTCTTATATAATTTTCAATATATAGGGCCATGAATTGTTGTTGTAAACTGTCCCGAGACGTCAGTGATGGGACGGTATATAAAAGTTTTAAATAAGTAAATGAAGCCATGTATCTTCCATAGGTACGAGAATGCACATATGCTCTTTTCAGCTTAAGGGCGCAGCCTAATATAGCTATCCGTAACCTTCCAAACTCAGAATTTGGGGTGCCCAGTGGAGGTGGAAGGAGTGTGGAGGCAGCTTTTTGCCCCTGTGCAGAGTAAGGAGGAACTGACATACCTGCCAGTGCTCGTAATATCCCAAGGGATCCTTTCTCTTCGCTTCCACTACCCCATCCACTTCTAAAAGAATTTCATTGTCTCTTGTGACAGAGGGAGGATGTGCCAAATTTGGAGCTCCCACTCCAACCTTGGAGCGCTGAAGCTCCAAATTTTCTGATGGCTGTCTAGACAGTGCTCTACATGTGTAGCATCATTTATCTTTAAGGTAGATTAATTTGCAATATATCATTTTTTTCTAAAGGAATTAGAAAGGAATACATTATGCTATGCTAGATTAAGTCTGCAGTGATCCATCTTCTTAAGATACCTAACGGATACAAATTATCTATCTGGTCTAGTTAGAGCAGTAACCAAAACTGATCTGGGTGAGACCAGGAATGGATTTATGATAAAACTTACAAAACTCCTGAAATCTTCATGTGACCTTTTTTTTTGGGGGGGGGGGGTAAGCTTGATTCACATTTTGATAATAAATAAAGCATCAATTAAACAAAAGAGATGCATTAATTTAGATTAGCCAGAAAAATGAAAGAGGAAAAAGTGAATTGGAATGAGAGCGCATAACCAAAAGTAGAGAGCAGTCTCACCTTTCCTATTTAACGAGAAAACCTTCAAGGGTTGTAGAAGTGGATTCTGCTCTCAAGTAAGGAGGAGAATCTGCGGTTTAAATGTCAAGGCTAGTGGACCCAGAGATAAGCCTGGCCATCGCCATAGCTGAAAATCAAGCAGTTTCAAATACTGGGAAGGGTTACTGAGCATGCTAATGTGGAGTGGGACTGGTGGGTGGGAACTGGCGCGAGAGTATTGGGTCAGGGTAAGAAGGCTGATAAGCTGAGAAGTGTCAGAAGCTCCAGGCACTTGGCTGTTGAGCTGGAAGACCCACCCTGAAGGTATGATTGGCTCATATCAGTTTGGAAAAGAGCAGAGATACTCAGTGTCAGATAAGCTTCTAATCATTAAAGTGTCTTTGCCTAATGGCCAGAATTCTTGCCACACTCACTTTCTTATTATTGACTTATGCAATACGTTTCATTTGTACTTAAAATCAGCTTTAACATAATAAACCCTTTTAGTTAGAAAGACTTTTCTTCGGCCTCCTTGCAAGGCAGAGAAGAATGGCTTGGACAGAACTGACATGCACACTGATACATCTCTGTAACATCACGAAAGAGCATTTCGTTTATTGACAGTTTCTTGTAACACTGCTTTAATGTAGTCCTCCCCAACCTGGCATCTGTCAGATATTTGGACTACAATTCCCATGATCCCTCACCACTGCTGATAGGGTTTCTAACTTGATGAAGGTGCCAAGTTGGAGAGAGCTGCTTTAATGCAGAAATGGCCAAGGTAGCTGGTGGCCCCTTGTGCGGTGCGTGGATGTGTGGTCTGGATAATTGGTACAGTCACACACTGGCTTCTGCATTTGGCCAGTTGTGACAGACTGAAAAAAGGGCCACAAGTTCTGAGTGAACCTGGGTGCTTGGTGTTGCTTGTTACTGGTGCACCAATGGAAATGTCCAAACGGAAATGTTGCTGCAATCATCTGTAGACTACGTAACCACTGAGAATTTGTTCTTGCAGCTTTTATATACCAGCATTCTGGTATTGTGCTACCTAATATATTTCGTGAAGTTTTTGGGTTCTCCTGAAGCAACCAAAAAATCATTCCCAGTTACTCAAGTTACAGCTGTTCTACCTAATTTCAGAAAAGAAGAGGTAAGTAAAACAGTTTTAAGAATAAACTAGCATAATTTTGCACAGGGAAAAAATCTCCAAAAAGTGTGGCCTTAGTCACAGAAGTCCTAGGAGCAGTTTATCTGTGACGCTTCAGTTCACATAGTGCTCTTTTCATGTGGAACAATGTGACAAATAGCTTCTCAAGGCCGCAGCTGTGGATGGTAATACGCATGTTATGCACAGTGTACAGGTTACTATAATTATTTACTTTAGGAATTCTAATTTCTTAACTAGACCTCAGTAATTGTAACAATATTTTACTTTCAGGAATTTGTTGACTGGAATGAAGCTAGATTGACTTGGAGTTTCTTTAAGCAGTCATTCCTGAAACAAGTATTAACAGAAGGTGAGCGTGATACTTAATTTTTCCCACTCCTCTCCAGTTGACAGTAATAAGAAAAATGCCCTTAGGTGCTAATTTTACAGTTCCAGAATTGCATTTTTGTATGGTCTGAGATAGACATCAGTGAGAAACATGCTGTTTCCTTGGAGTTCCTTTCTGAAAAGAAAGGAGCCATTCTTGTTTGTTCAAGTGGTCATTCTGTGAATGGAAGGGCTCCTTCTGCTCACAGGAAGCACCAGTAGCCAATAGAGGTTCCCCAGAGGAGAGAGATGTGGGAGGCAATCTCCACAGATTTCTTCTTTCTTCTGTATCATCTCTTGTCTTGCTGCAGATGGTCCTCCGGCCATTCAGAGCAACTTTTTAGGAGGTGGAGAGAACTGCAGGAGGAAGAATGGTTGCCTTTTTGCTTTTCTCTTCCTTGCAAATGGAAACTTGCTAAGCCTCTGGATGCAACCCAGAATGTTTGTAGAAGGTTGTAAGATGAAGCTTAGCACAAGGTGGTACATATCCATTTGGGGATTTTCCCCTGCCCTTATATAAGTATAGTTACTTATGAATTAATCCTGGAATGTAGAATAAATTGTAATATAAGTATATATGTTTTTGTTTCTCCAGTATGCACTATATGAATATCCTAGTGAAATGATTACATGATATTTCTGTAATAAGACTCATTTCTTTTTAATTTGGACTCAAGTTGGTATAATTGGACTTAAAACTTTCTGTAAGGGTATATTAGCAACTCATAATATCAACTTCATATTATGTGAAACAAGTCAACTAAGTACTCTACAGTTTATTGGAATTGGTCCCATAATACTCTTTATTATTGTAACCATACTAAATAACACTCTTATAATATTGAGCTGCTGTTGCTAAGAGCTGTTTACCCCCTTCCCCCATGAAATATTTGTTTCCTGAGAAGTGGTTCCAGGCGTACCACTGGTTCATAGTTTTGGTCATTAGTCCACTAGATTATTCACTTTGTTTGGATTTTGGTTTCCCTGTTCTTTTGCCCTTCTTAATAATAAGTTTACAGATACTGACAGTGAATAATAATGTCTGGATTTGTTATCTGATGTGCTCTGCTTAGGATAACAGTTTCTCATTGCACAGCCATCTGCAAATACAACAGAAAAGGAAATAATGGCTAATATGAAGTATTAATTTTATAGGTGAGAAATACGTGATGACTTTCATGAATGTGTTAAATTTTGGAGACCAGGGTAAGCAAGACACCACTACAAAATTTACATGCTGCTGTTCTTGAAATTAGAAGAATGATACATAGTAAAACAATTAAAATCTAAAGGACTAAAAAAAACTAAAAAATATTTTACTTTTGAATATACTTGGGTGATATGAATGTGAAGATCGTCAGTCTGCAAACAGAATTGTGATGATATAGGAGGCTGATTTTGAGCAGTTTATTTTATTTGCTTCATAACGCTGACTGAGATGGTTATGTTTATCAGAAAAATACAAAATGGTCTCTAGCTTGCTATTTTTACTACAGTTTCAATCATACATTAATTTCTATATTTGGTGTGTAGTAAAACAGTAATAGTTTGATTGTTCTTCTGATGTCAAAATCCAGAATTAAATGCATTATAATTATGTTTTATGCAAAATATGTACAGGATTGTTTCAGACTGGATGGAAATAGAGTAACACTGAACAGTGCGACTGGCATTTATAAACATATAATTGGTTTCAGTTATTTCTCCTCACATAGTGAGTCAATAATCTATAGACTTCAATGGCTCAGCAAAATGTGCCTTAAAGAGTGGCTATGCCACTCTTTCCCATGCCAAACCAAGAATAATTTTTTGACTGTTCAACACCTAATCCCGATATAAAAACGCTCAGGACAAAACGACAAAGTTTAATCGAAATCCTATTGTATACCAGTAAAATATTTTAATAACTACAATAATAAACTAAAATAGAGTAGAATATAACAAAGTGCAATCAAGTATTTTTAGGGTCCAGTCCTGTGGCCTTCTGTCGGGCTCCTTGTGATGACGTCAGGCAAACTCTCTGAGGTTGGAGAAGGGACCGCAACTGTGGAGGGTCTTTCCCGGCCAGCAGGGCTCTGGAGAGAAGACCAGCCCTGGGAGCCATTCTGAGAGCAGGGGTGGGGAGTAAAGCAGTAAAGCCTCAGCCTCCTCTCAAGAAGGGGAAGGCTCGTTGGGATGACTGAAGTCAGCGCCTCAATGTGCAGAATGGCAAGGGGAGTAGAGAGGCAGTCCCAGCCTCTCTGCTGCTCCCAACCTCCATTGGCTGTCCATAATCTGACTGGGGGCATGGCAGGCAGACACAGTGGATGGAAGTCTCCACTGGAAACCAGAGCAACAGAGTAACTTCTAAACTCTGTAGCTACCTACAGAGGAACGGCCTATTAGAAATGGTAAACATACGCCATCTGTTATAGGGGAAAGTTGCCATTTTAGTGGCTTACCTGAGAAGTTAAGTTGACTTCAGCATGAATGCAGAAGCCCTGGCTTATTCAGTTAAAAAGAGATCCTCTAAATATATTTGAGCCTGAGTAAATATTTATTATTGTTACTATGCCTAAGCAATGGATGCATCACACGAGTATCCATCCATCTTCAGAAAGGCTCGTGTGTGACTGCAGTGCTCATCCTACTGTCCTTCGTTATAATATAATTATGAAAATACTTAACTGCATTTTTGTTTGTTTATAAAGGTGTTTATGATATAGTGAATAACCTTGGATCTCTGACAGCCAGATTTATATTTTTGCCAATAGAAGAAAGTTTTTATGTCTACTTTGCTAAGGTTTTGGAACGAGGGAAGGATATCAAGTTGCAGAAACAGGTACATTTAATCTTGATATGCAGTTGTTTAAAAACATATGTTAATATAAAAGATAATGAACCATTTTGTATTCAAAATAAGTACATACAACTTTTCACTGGAATTACTTCCTGGATGGTTTATGTAATTAAGGTAATATAAGTCCTAGTGTTCAGCTAGTTGTGAAATAGAACTAGGAGAAAGAAGAGAAAGTAAAATTCATATTGCCAGTGCAGCCAACTATGATAGTAAACGAATCTGAACCAGTTCACATGATGAAAACATGGTTTAAATAAACCATGGTGGCTTGTTCTAAATGTCGTCATGTGGCAGGGACCATTTCCCTCATTAGCTGCCTATCTGGGCTTGTTTCATCCAAACCCCTGCTGCATGACTTATTTAAGCAGGAAATGACCCTCCAGTAACCCATGAGGGTTAACAAATTACAGTACAACCTTGTATTTTAAGAAAGCATTGATTTTTTGAAGATTCAAAAATGTGCATCTAATACTGTGGTGGAAACCAGGGACATTTAGTTCTCTTGTTTTCCTCTGATGCATTTAAAGCTAGTTCAGTTAACCTGTTTACATTGACATGGGGGGTTTAATGGAAGGGATTTGTGCAGATTAATTAATACGTCTCTAACTTTCAGTACATTCAATATATTCATACTTCTAGACACAAAACAGCTTTGTTTAATTACTACAACTTGCCTGTAACTAGCAAAGCAAAAATAGTGGGTTGTAAATTCTAATTATTCCATATATACATTTGATATGGTAATCTAATGTATGTCATTTTGTAACATCTAAAAGAATGCATTTCTATTTTAGGATGAGATCTCCATGGCAGCAGCTGTATTAGAATCACTATTGAAATTAGTGCTTCTGATCGGCCTAACCATCACAGTTTTTGGTTATGCCTATTCCCAGTTGGCACTGGATCTTTATGGTGGTTCAATGCTCAGTTTGGGATCAGGTAATAGTTCTTGCCTTTCTGAAAATTAGCTTAATTCAGCACAATGTTGTGCATGTTACTGATGAAAGAGAGTGCCTCTCTTGACAACAGTGTTAGTTACTCTGTTTTGTTTTGTTCTATCAGTGCTAACCCCTCCTGAAGATAACCAATTTTTTGAATACTGTGGCTCTTAAAAGTCTCCTAAGAAGCAACTAAAATGTATCCCTCCAAAATGAGGTTACTTGGAAGATTAGAAGGATATCCCATAATGCTAATTTTCTGCTTTATTCTACTCCTTTGAATGCCTGGCCTGCAGTTTAAGCTTTGTGGTTTTAAAAAATGATCAAGATTAACAATATGGTAATAGATTAGCAGCAGTTACTTCATTTTGCTGAGGCCACAATTTTACTGCATTCAAGAAGGAATCCTGTGGCCCCTGGACAGCATCTGAGGAATCATAGCATATTTTCTATCCCCAGATCTGAGCTGTGCCTTCAGAGCTGGGAACCGGAGCTCACGCCCCTCCCGCCCCCATTTTTGTCATGATAAGAGCTGTCTTGACTGTGTCCAAGAAGGGGAAAGCATGTTGTGGGTCAGAGAGGCACCTGGACAGCCCAGTATACAAGCCTTCCTGAGTCTTTTCCAGCCATCTTCCCTCTCCCTCTGAAGCGCTCCAACAAGAGTGGGAAGGATGTGCTTCTAGTGGAAACACAGGGCGGGAGGAGGGGAGGGTGGAGAAGGCCTTCACCTCTCCTCCTGCTCTACCAGGATGATCATATGCCTCTGAGTGTGGACATGCAGTTGTGCCCATAATGCACATGCTTCCCACTAAGCATACATAGGGGCAAGTTGTATTTATAACTCTGCAATACCCTTTATTTTGTAAAGGTCTTTTGCAGTGGGAAAACTAGCAAAAAAGAATTCCAGTAACATTTTTTAATGTGCTTGTCCTCTGTCCATCAGTACTCATTGATAACGAGTCTAACTGTTCACATTGGTTGTGGTGTTGTGGGAAGCTCTTTCTGAAGTTCTAACTGTTTTTTTAAATAGCAGTGAGTGCCTAGTACTTAATCTTGAAATGATAGTTTATGATGGGTGACGTTGGCAGGGATGATATAGAGGAGACAGGCCGTTCGCAGGGCTCTGCCTGAACTGTAGAAACTGCCATTCTTTGGCATAAGTAAGGTGGGGAATATATAAATTGAGTTCCTCCCTCCGGAAAACCAGCTTGCTTTCCTCTCTTTGCTCCACTTAGCATTGAGCATATGTTTTCTCTTTCTCTGAGGGTAATCTTGTAATTGAGAAAGAAACCAGGGAGGCATCCAAAGGGGAACCTGCTATAATAATAAATTACTTCAGTTACCCTCAGGTTGTTGGAGTAAATGCATGTTCAGGTTATAAAAAAGAGACAACAATTTCTGGATATTTGTTTAATTAAAACATTAATTAAATAATGCCCTTAAGGGTGGAACCCTACCCTGAAGGTATAGCTGAGAGAATTTCAACCCTGCTGAAAATTTGGAAGGGGTCCGTGAAAGCCATCTCAGAGATTGGAGGGGGTGTACATTTGAGAGTGGGGGAATTGCTTATACTTGGCATTGCAAGGTTGGCTTCCATCCTTTATTTTTGAAAAAGTGTATGCATTTTTAAGGCAGATCAAGGAATAGAAAACCATTGTGTGCAAATGGAGGTGTATGTCTGCTGAATTCTTAGGCCCGCAGTTTGGACTTCGGCCTGAGTGTGGATTCCCAGAAGCATATTTAACAACTGAGGCTAGTAGGGAAATTTGGCCCATCCCTAAGGAATTCCCATTTGGCCATGGTTACACATCCCTAGTTACATACTGTTTGGATCGCTGCGTGGGACTGCCTTTGAAAATCAGTTGACTCAAAGCTCAGGAGCAGCCTTCCCCAACATGGTACCTTCCTGGTGTTTTGGGCCACAGTTCTCAACTTTGTGACCATTGGCCATGCCGGCCTGGGGTTGACAGGAGCTGAACATCTGGAGGACACCATGTTGGGACAGTCTGGTCAAGAGAATATAGCATATTTCTCACTTGTGTCTCTTGTTATCCTGAATTAGTACTGAGGGAGTGTAGCAAGATGCCCCAGGCCAGGGGTCGGCAGCCTTTAACACTCAAAGAGCCATTTGGGCCCGTTTCCCACACAAAAGAAAACACTGGGAGCCACAAAATCCCTTTGACATCTAAAATGAAGATGACACTGCATATATCATTTTTACCTTAATGCTATGTATATCTTCATTATGATTTAGCTGCGGCTCTTGTTCAGTCAGTAAAAACTGTTATTTTTAATCTTACATTAGAAACTAGTAGGACTCCTTTCGTATATTTTGAATAGGAGAACAGCTTCCTGAAGAGTCAAAGTCAGTGCTAAAGGGCTGCATGCATTAAACAGCAAACCCCATAAGTTCGTCAGCAGTGAAATCAAATGAATCTACCCAAGTATCATTAAACGTTTGGTTTTCTTCAGAAATTTCTTTTCTTCGATTTATCCAAGCGCTGTGCCGGCACGGGCCGCGGATCAGCGGCCGCTGTGACGCGAGCAATGGAGCCGCAGCAGAGGCATTCAAGAGCCACATGCGGCTCTGGAGCCGCGGGTTGCCCACCCCTGCCCTAGGCACTTGGTGATGCTCTGCTCTTTTGGGAGGGGAGGTAGTCATTATCCTACAGTCTAGGTTTCATGGGGTGAGGAATCCCCATATGTTTCTGTTACTCAGCCTGGCACAAAGAGTGTGAACATGCAAAATTAAGGGAGCAGTATTATGCAAGTTTTGACAAAAGAACAGGCCATTTTTCTTACCACTTGCATGGGATTGTACCTTAATAGCAGTTCCTCAGCTCAAGGTTTTTTAAGCAGTGGTTGAGTACTTGTTTTGTTGTGCATACAGAAGAGCCAAGGTTCACTATATCTTCAACTAAAAGATTGCAGGTGATTAGGTTTGGAATAACCTTTGCCTGCAATTCCAGAGAGTCACTGCAGTTGTGGAAGGTAGTGCCAGACCACATGGCTTTTTGGTCTGTTGCCATGTAAGGCAGCTCTGCGTCCATTTATCAGTGTTTTGTTAAGGGCTGACTCTATTTCCACTTGAAATTAATTTCACAATAAGTACAATGTGTCAGTCAGTTGTACTTCGGCATCTGCCATGTTCATGAAAGGGATGTGTAAATTCTGGTAATAGTATGCAGATTAGCGTCGGCCATCTGGCACATGATAGGCCTTTGATGGCCTTTGGTTCTGAACAGTTTGCCTGTTCCTCCTGCAAAGCTTTCTCTGATGCTCACAGAGGCTTATCTGTAGGCTTATCCAGGAACTGTTAAACTCAGGTTTCAGTAGAGATTTTCTGGGGAGGTAATTTCTTAGGCACAGTAGATTTTATTCCATTGTTAATCATAACATCCCTTCCTTGCCAATCCTGTTGTGTTTCTTAAAATACTGGAATTTTCCAACCCATATTGAACACCTCATCAGTTTTCCTGCTTCTTATATTGGGGATGCTTTGAAGTGCAGCAGTGAATGTACCCTACGTGTTTCTTCTTAAGTACTAGTAGCATTTTTTTCTTAATAGCACAGACTGTAAGTTGATAGGGTGTGATGAGTTATAATTTATTAATATTTCATTTGTGTTTGCACTCACTGCTCCATAATGATAGCTTTCATTTTATTAATCTACTTGTCACAATATTTTCTCAGGTCCAAGTCTCCTGCGTTGCTATAGTTTATATGTCTTGCTGCTTGCTGTTAATGGGGTAACAGAATGTTTTGCATTTGCTTCAATGCATAAAGAAGAGGTGGACAGGTGGGTTTAAAAGGTCACAATAAATAATACTATAACTTAATTTTTCTTTTAGCTCTCACCATGTTATCCATGTAATTCAGTATGACAAAGAGGATGCACGTGAATGAACTATTCAGATATTAATTAATTAATTTATTTATTACAGCATTTATATCCCATCTTTCAGCGGAAGCACTCAGTACAGCTTACATAATATAAAATTATGAAACACAGTATTAGAACTACAATTATTAAAATATCTAAAATTGAACATTATGAACTAAACTAAAAAATAGAAAGTGCGACTGAAACAAAAAGAACCAAATATCTTAAAATGTCTAAAACCCATTAATTGTTAAAATGATGGTTAAATAAAACGATCTTTACCTGACGCCAGAAAGACTATAACGTTGGCTCCAGGTGGACCTCTCTGGGGAGGATTCCTCACAGTAATGTTCACACTTAACCCTAGGATTTGTTAAACAGCATTCAGTGTCATTCTGAGTGACGTTTCATACATTGAGAAATGCTAAAATGCTGGGTCCTGATGCGTATGCACTAGGTTGGTATAATGAAGTTAACAACCTGCTTATCAAGCTACCCACCATCTTTGCCTCTGAGTCTTCAGCAGTGATCACAAAGTACAGAGACGTGCACCACCTTCTCCCAATGGTCTTGTTTGTTTGTTTGTTTATTTATTTGGAATTTTTGTATGCTGTCCCATTCACATAAGCCTCTGGACAGCTTCCAACATAATAAACAATCATATAAATAGATAACATATAAAATCTGGATTCACCCTGGCTAAAAATTTAAAACCAATAAATAATATTAACAATTATTAAAATATTGTTTAAATAAAAAGGTTTTGGCCTGGCACCGAAAAACAAATAACAACGGTGCCAGGCGGACCTCTCTGGGGAGGGCATTCCATAAGTGGGGCGCCACCGCAGAGAAGGCCCTCCTCCGGGTACTCACTCTCCTAATATCTTTCACAGAGGGTTCCCGGAGGAGGGCCTCTGCCGCCGATCTCAAGGGGCGGGAGGGCAGATAGGGATCTTTGTCATGTATCTTTCTGTGCACACTGTGCTCTTGGTAAGGATTGTCTTCAGTGCCCCAGTTCTGTCTTTTGTACTGATGTGCAGATTCTAATGCCATGTGTCCTTTGGATGGCAGTAACCCGCTCGGTCCACTTAGATACCTTTGGAGCTGTAGCAGCTGAGTCTGATGCATTGATTGTCTTAAACAATCTCTGTTTCATCCTAAACTTGCACACTTGAAAGCAAAGGTTAAAAGTAATGTTACTTTGAGGTTTGGGGATACAGATTTAAGAAAGTGCAGGGTGCTCTGCCAGCTGCTGTCAGTGTGCAACTGAGAGAGATGCTTTTTCACTTTGTTGTGCTATGAGCTGTCAAATCAACTTTGACTTACAGCAGTCGTATGAATGAGCGCCCTCCAAAGCGTCCTGTCCTTGACAGCCCTGCCCAGCTCTTGTCAACTCAAAGCTGTGCATTCCTTTATGGTATTGATCCATCCCTTCTTTGGTCTGCTCTCCTTCTGCCTTTGACTTTCCCTAGCAGTATTTTCAGTTTCATCTTAAATCTGTTTTTTCCAAGTGTATGCTCCTCTAAGGCTTTAGATTTATAGAGTATGATTAACTATCCAGTAAAGGTATCCAGTAGTGCAGGGGTGGGGAACTTCTAGTACTCCAGATGTTCGATTCCAGTTCTCAGCTGGTGTGGTCAGGTAGGCAGGAATGGTCAGGAATTAGGCAACACAACACAGCATACAATGCAACACAACATACAGTGCTCCAAAGATTCTAGTGCAAATTGGCATCCTTTAAGATGCTTATTATAGCACACTGGCACAAGATCAATACAATGTTGAATTAAACTTTCTTCCATGGATTGGTCATTAGTCTTTCTTATTTATTTATTTATTTATTTATTTATAAAATTTGTATGCCGTCCAATTACTTACGTCTCTGGATGGCTTACAGCATAAATAAATTGACGACCCACTCTGGCTGCAAGTAAATAAAATACAATGATAAAATTCAATATTAAAGCATATTAAAATATTGATTAACTAAAAAGGTCTTGACCTGGCACCAAAAAACATATAATGACAGTGCCAGGCGGACCTCTCTCGGGAGCTCATTCCATAGTAGGGGCGCCACCGCAGAGAAGGCCCTCTTCCAGGTACTCTGTCTCCTAACATCTTTCAGAGAGGGTTGCCGGAGGAGAGCGTCTGTTGCCGATCTCAGGGGGTGGGAGGGCAAATAGACAAATATATCTCTTGTACATATATGTCTTTGCGAAGCTATCTAGATATAACAGGGTGAGATTCAAACTGTTTTGAAAGAAAATTTAGGATAATATGTAGGGTTTTTGTTTCTGCCATAGCAAAACATTTCTATAAAGTAGATGTGTGTGGAAAGTGGGAAGACACTATTTAAAATGCTTTTATTCTTGGGTCGTAAACATATATTGTTCCAAGCCCACATCCACTGATGAGAATAATTTATTTATTTATTTATTTATTTATTTAAGGGCAGTCATTTAAGATCAAAGTGGTATTCAAGACAATCAGTATTACTTTAAGACCAGCTGCTCACGTTGGAACATATATAGTCTCAATCATAAACGTTGATTCCACTTTATCATCTCTTCATTAGAGAACTGAAACTGTGTGACCATTTAATGGAAAAAGTCTTTAATTTTGAGAATAGAAATGATGTCACAGAGTAATTTGAATCCTATGATTATCATTTGCCTGTTCTTATTAGTATCCTCACTCTCATTGTATAATGATGTGGTTGTTGCATAACCATAGTTTATTGCCATGGCACATACAAATTTGTGTGCCTGCCTGCCTTGCTTTCTCCGCTTTTGTTTTCAGTTTGCCATGGCTTATTCCTAAGGTAAAACTTGAAACTATTTGTCTTTGAACGATGGTTTAGGGCAGCTCCTTTCACTATTCCTCCAGCAGAAGCTGCTTTGGCTTCAGGAATGGCCACTGAGGCCACTTGGGGCCTTTCCTAGGCTCTAGGGAACTGCTTAATGAACCCTAACCCCTACCTTAGGTCTGGTGCGCTGGACATGGCTGGAAGCCTTTTGGGACCTCTCCTCCCCTTCCCACCAGGCAAGGACGTCTCATTCAGTTCCCTGTTATAGGTAACCATTCGCATTGCTGTTTGCCTGTTGAGCCCCTCCATCATCACAGTCACTTGGTAGAATGCAGGCTCCTGCATTCTCTTTTCCTTCCATAACCACCTTGCAGTTCACAAACAGCAGATTCCTTACTCCCAATGCTGAAATTCTCATCTGGTACCCCAAAATACAGCAGCCATTCCAGTGCTAAATCAAACCACAAATCAATGCTAGAAACCCTTTTCCAGAATGCACAACCTTTGGTAGTCTATGGGCATAATTCTGAATGCCCAGACCTGTTCTACTGGTCTGGGTCACACAATGACCATGACTTGAACAAATCAAGATGTATTCAGGCACATACAAGGTGGCATTTGCCTAATTAATTGCCTCTGTCAGATTGTCCAAAACTGGGTGGCATGGCTTTTTGAGGAGGAATTACACTGGGGACTGTTGGCTTGCAGATTAGTTCCTCAGCTACTAATAATTTAGTCTTACACAGATAAAACTAGCCATGTGAGTTCTGTATGTACCATTTGTGTTTCTTCCTCCTTACCCTAGAAATCAAGGAAGCAATCTTGTGGCCTCTAGACAGTGTCTTAGTGGTCATAAGATACTCAGGACTCTACCCTCCAAAGTCAAACATGATGCTTTGACCTCAGACAGCAGAGTCAAAGATGCACGTTGGCTGTTTGCTGAAGTTGAAAAAGTGACCCCAGAGAGCATGGAAAGGGGGTTTCAGTGGGTGGGGAGGAGACTGGAGAGGGCAGGATAGGAATGCAGGGTGGGAAGATGGGGAGGTCAAGAGTGCCTCTACTCTTTCTCCCACCCTGAATTGGAGGATCAGAAGCCTCTGACTTTGGGGATTCCAGTCACTTGGGGGTGCATACTTGAGGGTGCATGTCATACCCTAAATGGTGAATTTACTGAAGATGTACAAACGGTTTCCTTTCCCTTTCCCTTTCTTTCTAGGTACAACTTTGTCATGCTTGCTTTGTCCTTTGTATTTTTGTGCATGTCATATTTCTTGACCTATTGGCAAGGCAGCATTGGATTTATCCTTGCAAACTGCTTCAACATGGGCATCCGAATAGCACACAGCCTCCATTACATCTATAGATATTTTGGAGAAAGCCCTTACAGACCGTTAAAGGGCCTACTTATTTCACCATTGCTGCTTGTTGTTTATGTCGTTAGTGGAGTGATCACCGGCGTTTCAGAGGTGAGTAATGCTTTTTCTCTTCCAGCTTTGCTCCACATTGATGGAGCAGATGACTAAAATAGGTTTTGGTTGGTTAGACATTCCAATTTCAAAGAAGGAAAGCCAAGTAAGTTTTTATAACACGGAGATTTAAAGTGTGACTCTGTGGGATATACAGGTTATATCCACAAATAGATAGGTGTGTATGTATATAGTTATGAACTATACTTAAATATGTATAGAAAAATAACATTTAAATGTAACCTTTTACGTATTATTCCTTTATCTAATGCATATTTTACAGAAATCTGCAGCAACAAGTAATTCAAAAGCATGCCTAGCAATATACAGATCCTTTACTCTTAAAACCTATAAGGTCTTGAACAAAGGACTTCCCTGATCATTGCCATACGTGTGAGATGCCCCGGTTTGCCCAGAGGTCATTTCCAGCTCTTTTGATGCTGTAGATGTATAGGAGGACAGGAGGACCACATATCCCCTCTCTGTGGAGCTGATACTGACAGGATGGTTATGGAACTGACAGTAGCTTTTATAATGCTGTGCCCCAGGGCAATTGCTTGGCTTGGGCTTTTGTCAAGTAAAATCATGGAACAGTCACTTTTGGGTGAAAGGGTTCCTGAGGCTTCAATAGAGAAGATGAATTGGATCCAAATGGAGCATGCGAACTTATAAGAAGAAAGAGGCTGAAGAATTGAGAATGGCAAGGGTGTTAAAAAAAACACTTAACTGTGGAATGTAAACAATAAGATGCATTTTATTAGCTGAGCTTGAGGGAAAGCATTTGGTGGAGACTTCCAGAACAAGGCCAAAACCTAGGGCAAGGGTCATATCATTCAGATTTCCAATGGTGGGCAAGGCTTCTGGGGGAAAGGTGACATCCTTTAGCATTGAAAAGAGAAATTTCCAAGAGATATGCTGAACCCAATTCATGTTCTACCAAGATACATAGTCAAAAGACATTTTTTCCATGACTTGCCAAGACTCGGGGAAAAAAGAGTATATAAAATACATCCAAATCAGCAGACCTCGGGAAGGTATGGACAAGCAGTGAAGCAGCTGCTTCTGAGTGTACAACCTGGCTGGCCACCAGGTTCCACTGTTGGTATTTTATTTTATTTTATTTTATTTTATTTTATTTATTTAAAGCTTTTCTATACCATCCGCTACAAGCATCTTGGGGTGGTTTCTGAATGTATGGGGCAAAAATGCACGAATGGATTGAACTGAACAACATTCTGTCTAGAAATTGCATTCAGGTCTTGAGTACCAGTCAGTATCTCAATCATACTCCCAGCTATTTCTAGCAGCACGTAGCGGGCTTTGCAAGAATAGAATGCAGTAAGTAAAGTGCAAAAGTTTTGTGTATTGCTGTGGGGGAAAGCATTAAATCCCCCTGGCCTCTAAGCTGCTGCGTTAAGCTTAAAGCAAGTAATAATAACTGAAGTTTGCTTTTTTGTAGGGGTTCCTGTGTTGTGATAAAGGATGGATGGCACGGTTAATTCATATTGCTGTAGGATTGCTGTGCTTTCTAGTAACTCTGGCAACTATATTTTTTACGGAGACCAAGCTGATCGGTTTTGTAAAGACACACATTTTGTCAAGATATTCCAAAGAAGGACTAAAATGATCATGTGCAGGTTCACTTCTGGGTGCTTATGTTTACTACATTTATTTTTATGTGGAATATTAATGTATAGGATAAAGATGACTTTTAATATAAATCTGATTCTGTCAGTGAAACATATATGTTGGCAACAAAGTGATATTAAGTTAATTTAAAATAACAGGCTTGATTCATACTATAAATGTACATCAGGGCAAGCAACTTGGTAAATAGAAGGTTGCATTGTAATTATAGCATACGTTGGCAGTTAGTACATGAATGTTGATATTTTACTAATCATCAGCACAAGCTAGTGGCTAGAGAGTATTGTGCATTCAGTCTCAAATTGAATTGCAAATTATTTTCGAGACGGAAGATGTCCATGACATAAAACTGGCAGCCATTAAAATTTTTGCTCTCAAATTTACCTCCAACCAAACAGATTTAGATAGGTAGCCTTCCAGAATTTCTTATATGCAGGCAAAATTGTGTGTTGAATGATAGTTCATGTTTGAACTGTTGTGCTTTTCTCTCTTGCATCTGAACTGTTCAAGCAAATTCAAAATTTGCTCTCAAAAATTCGTACATTCTAGACATGGTTCTCTTCCCCCACTCCAAAAAGTACTTTTTGCATCACATACTACAAATCATATTCCTAGAAGCATCCTTGAAGAACATCAGCTGATTTGCCCCCAGATAGCTTGATTTGGCAGTCATGCCTAAAATGAAAGTAAGCATTAGCTAAATAAGTAATAATTTAAAAATAACATCTTCATATATGGATGCTATAAAATGTTTTAGTTTTAATAGTGTACAATATTATGAGTATTTTAATGGAGATTTGTCTGTTTATGGCAGGTTCATTTTAAAAACAATTATATTGGAAGAATTTTGGAACATAAGACTTTAAAATCCTTACAAATGAACAGGAGTATCTGGAGAACTGGAATGAACAAAGCTCTGAACACAGTGTTACCAAAATATATCCAGACAGACTGATTTATTTGCAGTAAAGATGAGAAGTATTACAAACTTTTGTTTAACATAAATACCTATTTTAGCTGAAGCAAAAAAAAAAAAAAAAAGAACTGATTCTAGAAACTATATCTAGAAAAATGGTTTCTTCCAATTTGAGGTATCATATTTGAATTGCCCAACTTAGGTTAAAGCCCGGCTTTGTTAAAGTCCATTGTAGTTTTGTCATTGATTTCGGTGCATTATTTTGTATCCAGTGACGTCTGTGTATTGATTGTATCCAATGACAAGGAAACCTAATAACTTGAAATGAGTTATGGAAGTCCAGCAGGGATTTAAACGTCTTTTGCTGAATAATAACTGACAGGAGTTTCAAAAGCAATTTTAATCATTGATTCCTTTGCCCTCGTAATATACTATTGTCCCTTCCAGAAGTCAGAAATTAATTAATGCAATGAGTTAATGTAATCTCCTTCTTTTAAGCTAATCGCCGCTTGGGCTCTTAGTCGTTATTTCTGGCTACTTGTCAAAGAAGCATTGATGGAAAAGAATGAAGCACAACACTCTGCCCCCTTAATTAAAGAGTACAAACCATTATGGTGGTGTCCTAAGCCTTCTCCTGTTCCTGGAAGAGCTCCTTTGGTCTGCGGAAGGGACCGTGGGGAGGAAATTTTCACCAGTGTTTCTGCTGGCACCCCACACTGTTTCAGAGAGCCTCTGCTTTCGTTGCAGCCATTCTTTGGGTGTTCAAGGGGCTGCAGTGCGGAGATGGAAATTGCCATTCACCCTCCCCTCCTGATGGGGAGCATCCTGTTAAGAGGATACCATGGAGGCAGTTCTCCTATTGATGGACCATTAGCTAGGACCCAGATAATGGGTTTGGTATTCAAAAACTTAATGGCACTAATTAGTTATTCAGTGCTAAAAATGTACAAATCTTGTGCATGTACAAAACTGTGTAAGGGACAAATTCATCAACATGCACAGATCAGACTTGAATATTTTAAGAGTGTGTTTATAGAATATAGATACAGTGTGATGATAGTAATAGTGCAGAGCATAGTCCTTAACAAATATGAATCACAAGACAAATACCTAGTGTGGAGAGATGTTATCTTTGGCCCACCTCAACATTTATACCCAAACAGATGAATCTAATATGGAGTTTAAGTATTATATGAGTTACAAGTCAAAGTTTAAATCTCATTTAGTCTCAAACGTACATGTCATCTTCCCTACAAAACTTTATACCATAACCATGATGTCAGACTCCTTAGTTGGTGTACAGGAGTCCAACATGAGCTGCACTTTCAGTATTAGTTTAACGATTCCTCCCCCCATATATATGTATGTATGTATGTATTAATGAATGTATGTATGTATATATCAGAATATGTTGAATCAAGACTTTAAAAAGTGTAGTGATATTTTACATTTTGAAATACACTGTTACTGTTACTGTCTAAATTGCATCATCATCAAAATCAAAATAAGGAAATCTGCCTTGGCTTTGTCCATTGCTCTTTCACACTGATTTGCTGTTGTACTGTCCTGTTGTAATTATGTAATTCCTTAAAATGAGATTTTCACACACTAATTCATCGCTTGTTCCATCATCAGGTAGAACTTGAATTTGCAAAGCAGCCATCTCAATACAGGACGTGTAAGGAATCTCTTAATATGTTCTACCATAACTCAGTGAATGTACATGTGTATACGAGACAGCCATAATAGAAGCGCTCAGCTCGTCAGCAAAAGAAAAGTTGTACAAAATCTGTAAAACCAAAATGTAACTTGCATTCTGTTTTCCACATTGTCCTGGAATGTTAATTTGCTCAGAGAAGTAATTTCTTAGCTTCAGCAAGTTTACAACAGAAAAGATCATCTTTGAATAGCTAATTGCAGTGCAATCCTATGTGATTGGCAGTGCTATCCTGCGCATGTTTATTCAGAAGTCAATCTCTGTTAACTGCATTTAGGATTGCTGCTTTTGTATCTTATGTGAAGAATATGATTTGGCTGTGCTGTAAATATTTCAAGCTGCAGAACTAGTCCAATGCAATTGAAATATTATTGTGACCTGTGGAGCATTTTAAAAATGTACTAGAGCAAAAACCTATCTAATCATTGTCACTTATTGTTTGAGGTTTCTCACACTTCTTTTACCATCTGCCATGATGCCATGGGATATTCATATACATTGTTACTGCTCAGGGAGAACCTGTCAGCTGTGGAGAGCTGAGAAACCGTGATAGGGCTTGTTTGCTTGCTTTTGGCTGGAAGATCATGGCGACAGGGAGTCCTTTATGTTGTAGACAGACAGTTTTGACAGGTATGCTGGATAAGCAGGGAGGGCTGAAGTTCTAAATGGGGGAACAACAAAAGTTTATAGCAAGGCTGAAGGAATAGGGCAGAACAGGCGGTTGGTTGGGAGACAGATGTAGGTGAAACAAAGATGAAGGACAACGTCGCTCAGGATGCAGATAGAAAGGCGGTTGTGAGCCGCATTGCCTCCCTCTGATCAACACAGGCCTCGGGCTGCTTCTTTTCATGACACTCTTTATTGTTTATCTAGTCTAGTCCCTGAGCATGCACAAAGCAGTCTGTTGACTCCTTTATGAGCCATTCCGTGTCTCCACCCCGGGGGATACCCTGTGGAAACAGGTCCACCTCTGCTTCTCCTATTGGTTGTCCCTCTGATGATGACAGCAAGCGATTGGGCCTGCCTCTCCAGGGGGTGGGAGCTCTCCATTAGGGGGACTTCCCATTTCAGTGTCGCCTCCCTCTGGCTCTGATTCCTCAGCATGGTTCCCCCCAGGGCTGGGCTGCTTGATCTTCCCACCTGCCCTCTCCCCTCCCTTTGGGTCTCATACCTTGAACCACACCTGGCGTCAGGGCCATTTCTAAAACAGTCTCATCCTCAACATTGGAATCCGAATCATCAGCACAACCAGCAGCGGAAGCCTCCACTGAGTGTGCCTGAAGTTTGACAGGATGTGCGCACCGACAAAGGCATGTGTGCCATTGGGAGGATGGCAGCGATCCGGTACGGGAGCTTTGGAAGTTGGAGAGCTGCAGGTGGAGAGAGGCTGGAGGAAGTGGCCTGACTTTCACTTAACTAGACCTATCTGTAAAAGAGAAGATTCATCAGAGTATTTTCTCTGTGCCATGTACATAAAATTACATTTGGGCCTAACATTAAATTTGGGGTGTTCTTAATCAAATCTCAATAATAGGAAATGTTTTTGTAAAATTGAAGGGAGCATATTTTTAATATTAGTTTGCATTCTTTGTTATTGTTCAGTTACTTTCCAGCAATCAGTTCCACTAATTTGTTCCAGTTTTCAACTGAAAAGCCACCGACTATCAGGAGAATGCATCTGTAATGGACCAAATGGATTCATTAATGAAACGCTTAATAGTTTTATTAAGGAGCTTGCATTCAAGTCCTCCATAATCCATACAATGAAGGAAATAGGCTCACATACTGCCCCTTGCTTATATGGTTCTTTTTACATGGTTAATTCATGAAGATGTTTACATTCTACTGACTTCTGCCCTTGGCAAATGTAGCTGTTGGAGTAGAGAGCTGATCTGCAAATAGAAACCATCTGGCTCTGCTTACATGGCTGAATGAGTGTTAAAGAACAGTCACCCACCCCTTCTATTTATCCAAATTTGGATTTTTTCTATTTTTTTAAAGTATTGTTAAATTCTCTCTTAAGTAGCAATTACAATTCACCTGATATCCCCCACCCTGGAATCCTGCTCAAACAGCTGAAATTAGAGCTGAAAGTTGCAGTTCACCAATACAATACAAAACAGGCCCCAAACAGGTCTGCCTTTCCTCATTTCCTGATCATTGTGCCTTGGGAATTGAACTTTCCTGTCAAGTGGTTGAAAACAACTGTGATTGTACTAAATCCAGCAGGTACAAAATGGTGCATGGTACCATTGTGCATGAGGCAACATACTTCTGTGTGTTCCTCAGGAAAAGAAGCAACAGCAAGCTGTGAGAAAGAGAGTTCCATGAGGATGTGTGTTTGTATGCCAGGATCATTTCAAGGGTAGCACAAATAATATTTAAGTTCTTTATTCTCCGGTGTTGTTTTCAGGCAAATTGTAATTGCACTTGTCTCATCCTTTCAAAAAAGCAGCAATGGTGCAGAGAAGAGAGCTAAGGATTGCTAGGCGATGCCCATCCGCCCTTTCTGGCTTGAGCCCTAGTAGATGCTGAGAAGTGCCTTCCGTGAGGACTGGTGAGATCTGTTTCCCCCTGACCTTCCAGCTTCAGCACACTCAAAGAACTAAGGAACATCCATTGCATTCGATGTAAGACATATGTCTGAGGTAGACTGGGCTTGTTCCTTGCATAGTAGTTGTCTCTTAGCTGCCCGAGCTTGATTACAGCCAGCACCTTCTCTTTATGAGGGAGAAAGTAAGGAAAGCCAAACAGCAGCACTGAGACCTAGCAGTGTTTGCAGTAAAAAGGAAACGAAGATGACGGTCATTCTCAGCAGCCAGCATAACGCTAAGAGAAGAGACCTGTTCAGGGAACAGCTCTAGATTATTCGAGGGTTGGGAGCAAATGGTCCAGGCTAGGTCCAGTACAATGCTTAGAGCAGCTCTGAGAATGTGAAGGACCAAAGGCAGGTAACATGGTCCAAGAGACACCGATGGTTTGGCTTGAGGTAGGCAACTAATGATCAGAGGCATAGACTGGAGGAGAAATAATTCTCACGGGTTTTTCCTTTTTTTCCTGTGCAACCCTGAGGCCTAGAAAGAAAGCAATCAAGCTTTAATTCTTGGAGTTCAGATCACGCACTGGATTTCCATGAATAATAGTCCAGGTTGAAGCCGTGCTGATTTCCTTTCATCCTTCTGTTAGGCTTACATTTAGCAACCTGAATCTCTGGTTGAGGCTGCAAAATACATTTAGCAAATAGATACAAAGGACATAAATTCCATGGTAAGCACCCTTCACAAATGTTCCCTGAATATTTTTCTGTGCAAATTCTGGCAGACTGTGGACAGAAAAGAATAAAAATAAAAATGAATGTTTCTTGGGATTTCAATCAACTTTGCACTGATCGCATATGTGCCTTCATTGCTGATGCCAATTTGAAGCATTTCTGTGTTCAAAATCTGTTTAATTATTTTCTTGTATGTGGTAGACTCACTAATCCTTCTGTGTTCAGAAACTGTTCACTAGCAGAACGTGCATTGCAAATGCAACTCTTTGTTCTGTCGAACTGTCAACCTGAGTGAGGCTGAGTAAAGCTAGAGACGGAACATGTGCTTGAGAGCTGGCTACTAATGAGGAGAATGAGAAGCATTTATGCAGAAACCGTAACAAACTCTGTGCTGCCTGGTGGTGTTAACATGCAAAACAATGAAATCATTACGAAGAAGGTGAGAGCATTTGGCTTAAATTGTGGGAAAGAAGGGCCTCTTCCACTGCCAATCTTTCCTAGCTGGCATGGGCGCTCACCATGGAGGGAGAATGAGCATTGGAGCTGGCCAAGTGCTTAAAAATGTGCATTGATCAAATGCTGGTTGACAGCTCTGTCCATCAGTCCGGTAGGGAAAAGTGGCATATGGAGTAAGACATTGATGGAGAGCTTGTGCATCTCTCTGCCCACATCCCGAGTCCTCCAGAGACATGGCACAATGCAGCTCGCCTTCCTTTCCATCCTCGAATATCCCTGGGTTTCACCAGCTGCTGCTACGCTCCAGGAGGAGTCTGACTCCACAACAGCAACCCTTTGTGAGCTGATTAACTTTACTCTCCTGCCCTAGTCAGAGCGAAGCAGTGGCTGAATATTGTTGCTGCCTTGTGCTGTTTGTCACAACTTTGGGTTGTTCCACCATGCGAAAACTACCCAGCTCAGCTTAGAGTACTTATTGCAGTGTCCCGGCAGCTACAACACACAACACAACACGGTAAGGAAGCTGATAGGATGGAGTGAAAGGGACCCCTTTGGGCAGACACTCCCAATTCTATAATTTATAATTTTATTTCACTCCTATGCCGCCCCATAGCTTTCTGGGTGTTTTACAACAGTGTGTAAAACAATACAATAGGAATAGCATAAAAACAATGCTGTTAAATTGAATTTTAAATTAATAATAGAATAGCTTAAATATACAGTAAAATAGAGTAAAATACAGCAAAAAAGATCCAGCAAAGACAAAGCACTCAGAAAATTCCCTCAGGCCCCTGGATAACCAAGGAGATCTTTAAAGGCCTCTGCATAGGCCTTCACATAATGATCTGGTGCAGAAAAGAACCCAGAACTGGCAGCAGGCTGAAGGGAGTTTGTTCCAAAGATGATTTTGGGAAAGGGAATGGTGGATTTGGGCAAGCATTCCTGCTGGACACTAGGTGCATACTCATTCAGGTTCAGAAGATGAGCAGAGGGCAACCAGGAGGTGTGCTCACCTTCAAAGAGCTCCGCCTGAAAGAGTGGGGCACAGACATGTTCTTGACAGTCCCTGGAGGTAATCACTGGGCTGGGTTCAACAAAATGCTCTGTGCATGCTCAGAGACTTGTTCTGGGTGATTTGTACTGGAAGCAATAAAGAATATTGAAGAGCCAGTGTGGCGTAGTAGTTAAGAGCATGGGACTGGGACTCAGACAATCTGGGTTCTAGTCCCCGCTCGGCCATGGAGCCAACTGGGTGACTTTGGGCCAGTCACAGACTCTCAGCCCAACCTACCTCACAGGGTTGATGTTGTGGGGATAAGATGGAGGAGGAGAGTGAAGTAAGCTGCCTTGAGCCCTTGTAGGAAAAAGGCAGGATATAAATCGATAAATAAATATTTTGCAAGGAAAGCAGACTGTGGCTGGTGTGTGTTCAAAGGAGGAAAATCGGCTCATGACAGCTTGAACCCAAACCTCGTGAACTGGGCCTGGAAGCACACAGGCACCCTACTTCTAAGATTAATTTAATTCTAAAATTAAAAATTTAAATTTTAAGTTCTCGGGAGGTTTGTACTTTTTTTTTGCTAGGGAAATATATGCACTTCTCATGGTGCAGCACTTATTTCCCATCCATGAAATCTGCATGTATTTCCCTTCACTTACTGCTCAGCCATGTGACCGTGGTTTTTTGACAGCTGTCAGGGAACCCCTGAAAGTGCTTTAAGATTTTCCCCTTTTGGACTAGCCAGACTCTTGAAAAGTATCCCAAAGGTGCATGGCACTGAGAACTGTTCGTGAAACCTTTGAAACCTAGAGGATTACCTTTCCAAGGCGGAGACCTATACTTCATCCCATTTTGATGCACTTACCTTCACAGATTCTACCCTGTTTGTGGTTGGGTTTTAATTGACAGACAACAGACAAATTGAAAAAAGGACATTATGAATACATTTGCAAACTGTTGTGACGTTCTCCCCATCCCCAGAAAAAGAAGGTGATCAACCTGCGATGGTCGCTCCACAGTGACCATTGCCTGGAGTGACTGGGCATTGGTGGAGGGGTTGTCTCTGGTCCTCACTGGCAGTGGCATTAGTGAGCTCAACAAGAACAGCAAGTTTTTGGCCACCCCTGCAGAGTGGCTTGCACACTGCTGCTCACAAGCCTCAATAGGACTGTCGGCCTGGGTTGGAATGACACCACCCCGTCATGGGTTGAACAAGTGACCCCATGGGAAGAGGTTTGCGTTCAGATGACATGGCAGTTGCCCACGATGGGTTGCCATGTTGTACAAAGCCAGTCAATGTGTGCTGTTCAGTGTTGCAGTACGCATTTTATTTTTCCATTCTGAGAGGGCAATGAGAGGAGAGACATCACTGCAAAGGAGTTTTAGTGCCATCAGTATTTGGTTCCATTGTGCACTGAGCATTTCATCAGTCTGTGTGTATATGTGTGTGTTTAAATAAGCAGACACTAAGCAGTAATTTTTAAAACACCACAAAAATGCCCACGAACCCTTTCCTGGAAGTATATGGCTTGCATTTCCTACTAATCCAACCTTCCTACCAATAATCTAAAGACTACAACATTACTCAAAACAACAACATGTAACAGAGAGATGGGGAAGAGGTGTGGAGTCTTTTCTGCCTGATACATTTGCTACTGCTCTGAATTGCTGGTCATGTGTGAAGCTTACAGTTGTACTGATATCTCCAGTGGGATGTGGTTTTTGTGGTTTTTTAATTTTTAATTTCTATAGGTTCAGTGGTGGTGAGGACCCCAACATTACCAGCAATGTTTTTAAATATTTTGTGA